AATAGGTAGCTCTTGAGGACTACTTTAAAGCTTGCAAGTTCTGTAGCTTCATTTGAGCCTCGGAAAATTCGCAGTTATTTCTTATTTGCTCATTCAATTTTTTGCTCCACTAAACACTCAGAACTCCGTTCAGAAAAGCTTCGCAGGTAATCGAGACAAATCTGGAAATACCTCATTGCGCTCAGTGGTGACATTGGTGAATTCTTTCTTGAAAGTCCATTTGCTGGATGTCCTTCTCGTATAGGGAGATGACTGTAAAAGAGGTAACTGCTGAAATGGAAATTTTAAAAATTCCCTTAGTATAGCAAATATCACAACTTGATGGCTGGAATCTTATCGTAGTTCGGAACACGACGAAGAAAAATTGCTCTGTCACTCGAGAAAATGTGCGCTATGTACCAAACGAAAAAGGAGGTTTTAGCGGTAAGTTCAAGGCTCTGGCTTTACCTTAAATGACATGGTATCTCAAGCTGTAAGCCACATTCAGGCAGGAATGTTGGGTACATATATGCAACATGGAGTGGAGCTGACTGGATTTATGACTTTGGCAATGGGATAGTTCCTTCTAGTTAGTTGCAGTGGTGAACTCTAACGCTGAAGAAGAAGTCTCTTGATTCGTTACAGTTCCTAACCAGTAAAGATGATTGTAATACCAATCTGATCTATTGCAGATGCGTCGTTATCTCTTTTTGACTACACCGACTACATCAGCGGGTTACAATATGGCACCGATGACTACGAGTCAGAAAGGTATTTAATAGATAGATCTTTAGATCAAATATGAAAGATCAGTTTTTTTACGAGAAAATCTTCAATCCATTCACGTTTTTTGGCAATCCAGGTCTTTGTTCGAGGAGGTTCCCATCACAGTTTTGTCATGTAATTTTTCCAGCTAGTTTTTATTGTTTTGAGAAACGCATCATTTAAAAGTATAAAAATCTTTGCCATGATGTATGCTGTCTTGCAGATTGATGAGAACTCCGGCTGTACAACATGGACTAATCAAACCTTACGAAATGCTCTCCAACACGAATAAAGCTTCGAAACGATGGAGTAAATTCTCTCCACCAATCTTTTCTCAAAGGTAACGTTCGGAAGATTGCATTTTTGACATTCTCGCAATTTCTATTTCCAGGAGCTCTTTTTCCATGGGACGCTCTCAACACTCTTTTTCCCAAAAGAGCATTCTTCACGTTATTTTTGCCCACATCGAAAGGAAGGTATGTTTTCATCTATTGATTAATCTCTAATTGTTTCTGTCTAGCGCTTGAACGTTCCAGTACCTCCACACTTCTTCGATCTTTGTTTGTGCAAAAACTTCTGCATACTTTCGGAGATGCTAATGCGATTCATCCAATTCGTGCTGATATGCTACAATTCACTGAAAAGCAGATTATAGAAGATTTCGAGGGGTAAGACTGCTTTTCGAAATGATTCTATCCCGATGGAGGTGTAAATACACAACGGTAGTGACATGCATGCTTGCTTTGGGTAAAGAGTTGAGGTACAGTATGATTTGTGCACCAGTTCTAGATTTTAATTACTGCATAGAGTATCGAAATTACTTCAGCGACAAAGATTATCTACACCTTAAGAGATGGACATGTAAGCTGGATCAGCTCGGGTAAGTTCATGATGAGATATTAC